ATGTGAGTTAGAGCTTCAAAATCCTTGCCTCTCAATAGCAAACTAGTTTCACTTTCTCCAGGATAGATCTGTTTGTTCTCTGTGCTGTCCGTGGTGTAGTCAGTACTCTTCTCCAGCACTGCATCTTAAAGACATCAATTCTTCTTTCATCCTTATTCAGTTCAGTTCTCAGATGTATAGCAAGCAATTGAGAAGACCATGGCTTAGATCAGGTGCACCGTAGTCTCTAAACTGACACCATTACTCTTTAGCACTCTGGAGAGAGCCTTGGCAGTAGATTTTCCCAGTACAATTTGTCTTTTGATTTCCTGACTGCTTGTGCCAAGAGTGCTGATTGTAGATCCAAGCAAGATGAAATCATTAGCAACCTTAATCCTTTTTTCATCTATCATGATATTGCCTATTGGCCTCGTAGTGAGGATCTTTGTTTTTTTTTTAATTGATTTTTTTTTAATTATTATTATTATTTTTTGTGCATGTACCGTCAAATCAGATCTGACTGGTACAGGAGGAAATTGTCCCTCCTTCTCCGGCAGAGCATCTGGTGGATTTGAACCGTGTACCTTTGGGATTGCAGTATAGCTTCTTGCCACTAGGCCACCAGAGCTCCCCTTAATTGATATTTTAATGAAAGATTATAGAGAACTTAGAGTTCCATTCATTTGTTGAACATTTTCCTCCCTGCCCACCCCCTACCCCCAGTTTGCTTTTCTCTTTGAAAAGAAAAAAATTCTTTCATTGTTATACAATCCCCCCATAAGTCTACTTTACTATGCAGCTCTTATTCTGGACTCTTGTCATGCAAACAATACCTGATTATATATCCCTTTTAAACAATTCTCTCCCTCATCTGTTTCAATGCAGGGTTAATTGTTTATCCCTTCTTTTCTTAGTTTTCCTCCAAACCTTATGTCAGTCCTGTTTTATAACAGTGACACTATGCAGTATTTGTCTTTTTTTGACTGAGATAATTCACTCAACATAATGTCCTCCAGGATTGCCCATTTTGTATAACATTTCAGGAGTTCTTTGTTTTTCAGTGCTGCATTGTATTCCATTGTGTGACTATACCAGAGCTGCTCTATCCATCCATTTGTTGATGTGCACTTAGGTTGTTTCCAACTCATTGCTATTGTAAACAAAGCAGCAATAAGCATGGGTGGGCATATATCTGCTTGGGAGGCAGTTCTGTTATCTTTAGGGTATATTCCTAGAAGTGGAATTGCTGGGTCAAATGGTATTTCTATTTGCAACTTTTTTAGAAAGTGTCATACTGCCTTCCATAGTGGTTGCACCATTTTATACTCCTGCCAACAATGAATAAGGGTTACAGTTTCTCCGCCACCTTGCCAGCATTTATTGTTTGCTTCTCTGTTGAATTTGTTGTTTGCTGCTCTGTTGTTACTGGGGTGAGATGATATCTCATAGTTTTGATTTGCATCTCTCTTAGAGCTAGGGATTTCGAACATTTCTTCATGTGTTTGCCATCTGAATGTCTTCTTTGGTGAAGTGTCTGTTCATATCCTGTGCCCATTTTTCACTTGGGTTGTTTCCCTTTATCTTGTTGTAGTGCTCTAGTATTCTATAAATTCTAGATATAAGTCCTTTATGTGACATGCCATAACCAAATCTTTTTTCCCAATCTGTGGCTTCCCTTTTTACCCTGTTGGAGAAATTTTTGGATGTGCATAGGGATTTTATTCTTTTATTTTATCCTCTCCTGGTTATAGGGATCTTTGTTTTCTTGATGTTGCAATCCATGCGAAGGCTGTAATCTGTGACATTCTGCAGCAAACACTTCAATTCCTCTTCACTTTTAGTAAGCAATATGGTGTCATCTGTATAATACACATTGATGAGTCTTCATCCAATCTTGATGTCACATTCTTCATAAAGTCCAGCCTCCTGAATGATCTGTTCTACATATAGTTTGAGAAGATATGGAGAGTGGACACATTCCTGATGCATTCCTTTCTTGATTTTGAACCACATAGTATTCCCTTGCTCTGTCAGCAGCTTCCTGATCTGGATACAGGCTTTGCATGAGCTCCATCACATGTTCTGGGATTCCCATTCTTCTCCATGTTAGCCACAATTTATTGTAATCCACACAGTCAAATGCCTTTGCATAATCGATAAAACACAAATAGACATCTGTCTGGTACTCTTTACATATAGTCATGATCCATTTGACATCAGCAATAATATCCCTAGTGAAATGGCATCCTCTAAATAAATTTCTGGTAGTTCTCTGTTTACTGTTCTAATAATTTTTCAATAATCTTCAGCAAGATTTTGCTTGCATGTGATGTTAGTGATATTGTTGGACAATTTCCATATCCTTTATCACCTTTTTTTTTTGAATGGGAATAAATATGGATCTCTTCTATTCACTTGGCCAGGTAGCTGCCTCCAGATTTCTTAGCACAACCTGGTGAGCAGATCCAGGAAGTAACTAAAGCAGTTTAATATCCAGATTAAAAAACAAATTTCCTGGAGGTAAGCAGATGGTTAGAGTCATAAGAGACATCAGTTTAATGATTTGGTTTGCTACCATATAATGAGAATTTTCTGGTCTTTTAAGAAAAATTCATGTGATTGGTTTAAATTAGATAGACCCCTGGCCTCTTTTTTAAACTTTTTACCTGGACAGAGGGCCTTTACAGGCTTTGTCTTTTCCCATTGCTTGTTACTTCTGTCTTTTCTTCTGTACTTTTATTTTCCTAATATAATTGCAAAAATGGTTATTATCCAGAGCTCCTTGTTCACACCTTCAAAGTTATGTGATCAAAGAGGAAGATATGTTCAATTGGAAGATACCAGTTGCTCAGTTTGAGTCTCCTGCCCATTGTTGGAATAGCCTATATTAGAATTGCAGGCAAGGATCTTACTTAGAATTGGTTCAGATGTGTCTGTGTGCTTGGTGGGGGATAAGATCAATTATCAGAAAAAGCGGGAGTAAGAACTAGAATATGTGTGAGGTACATAAGACAGCTATCAGTCTTTATTCCTTTAGTTTACTTGGAATCTCCAGTCAGCCACATCATATACACCTTCACATCGATGTCCCATAAGTACCTCACATTCTTTATTCCTCAACTGCTGTTTTCTCAATGACTGTCTTCCTTTGCTTCAACTTAAAGGTCATTAATGTCAAAACTGTTTAAGCCTCAGGATTTGTGCATAGGGGTGCTGTGACTGAGATGTTTCTGCCCTATATGTAGGTAGCATCTACTGAAAATGACTTCATTTCCTAGACTAGATATTGGCAGGTCGTGGCTGCTGTCCTTTAGGGCATGCTGTGCAGAAGCAGCAGGTTTGTGCTGTTTTTTATATAGCAGTTGCCTACTTGTGCTTTAACGTGGATAGACAAATAGAAATTTCCCTTACAGAGTAAGAGGCTAGAAGTCCAAGTTCATGATGCTGGCTCTCAGGGAAGACTTCTGTGCCTTCTGGTTCTAAGAGTTTCTCAAAGCTGGATCCTGTATCCAAGGGACACACCCCACTCCCAGCTTTCCTTTCTTGTTGGTGTTAACTGAGGTTACTGAAGTTCATCCTCTATTTTTGCTTTTTTTTAAGAGAACATATTCAAATTATTTGTTTTTCATTCACTCAGTCATAGACTTTTTGTTGTATATTAATTACAAATGATAAATAAACCAATTAGTGTCTAATCAATTCATATTGTATATTGCCTTTAATTTATCCACCTTATCTTTTTATTTTTTTTGTTTTGTTTTGTATTGTTCTTTTTTTTTAAGTTTTATACTGGTTTTCCCACAAAGTTTGTATACATTGTTTTCACACCAGGTCTTTCCCAGTTTATCTTTTTATTTTTACTCACCTCTTGCTCCCTTTTCATCCCTGTTAGCCACCCAAGTATGACTGATTCCATCTGTGTATAAACGTTTCCTTTATTCACTCACTCAATGCTGTCAGTTCAGAACCGATTCATAGCTGACCTGAGTGTTTGGAGGGTATAAATCACACAGAAGGAGATTGCTCATGTTTCTCCCACAGGGTCACCGGTGGATTCTGAAGAGCAGAGAGGTTCCACCTTTGAGTTAGCATCACAGTTCTCTATGGACTATGCCACTAGAGCTACCTGTTGATAGGTGTCAAGTCGAATTATGGCTTATAAACAGCCTTATGAACAACAAATCTGAACCTTGTCCAAGCTATAATAAGGGTCTTATACTTAGGGAGCTCTGGTGGCAAGAAGCTGCAACGTAATCCCAAAGGCACACGGTTCCAGGCCACCAGCTGCTCCACGGGGGAGAAGGACGGGCAGCCTCCTCCTGTGCAATTAACTGCCTCTCAAAATCCAATGGAGGGTCAGCTATGGGTCAGTTCCGACTCCATGGTACACAACAACAACATACCATCCTTAGAAACCACTAGTGGCCTAGGAGTTGTGCTGCCAACCCAAAGACAGGCAATTTGAATCTTCCAGCTGCTCCATAGGAGACTAATGGACAGTCTTCTCTTGTGTAATTTATAGCTTCTGAAAACTCACAGGAGGGTCAGCTGAGTCGATTGTGACTTGGCAGTATACAGCAACAGTACACCATAATTGTAATTTTGTGACTGACTTATGGCATTCAGTGTAATTTGCATAATTTTTAGATTGTATGATAATTTTATTTTTAACTTTTGAGAAACCACAAAATCATTTTCCACAGTGGCTGTACATTCTGTATTCCTACCAGCAGCATTTGAAGGTTTGTATTGTAGCTTTTGAACTAATTTATTTTTTTCTCTCATCAGCTGATCTTAAGAGGATTTCTTTTTCCATTTCAGTCTGCTTGGATTGAATTCATTAACAGCTTTCCTATCCTTAGCACAGTCCTAAGTTCAGATTTATGTGTAAGAATAGGACTGCTTTTAGCTCCCTGGAGAGGACAGTATCAGGAGGTCAGAGAGGACAGTATCAGGAGGTCAGCTGTTTCACAAGCAGTTACGGTGTCTGGGTGTTTTAACACTCTTTCTTTTGTTTGCAGTTATCACTGGCCAGCATCGAGGTGGCGTTGTTTCAGCACGAACTCGGATTGACGTTCTCTTGCACACTTTTAGAAGGAAGCAACCCTTTACCCACTTCCTCGCCTTTTTCCTCAATGAATCTGAGGTTCAAGAGCGATTCCTGAAGTTCCAGGAGGAAGTGCTGGAGAAGTGCTCCATGGTAAGCAGCAAACAAACCAAAGCAAAAAGCTAAAAAAAAATCACACATCCAGGTTACAAAAACAGTTCATGACCCAAACAGTTGAAAGATACAGACTTCTTCCCTCACCTTTAAAGGTTACCACTTCTGATGGTTCTGGTAATTTGGAAGTAGGGGGGGAAAAAACCAAACCCCAATCATCTTAGTACATGTCCCTTTTTTTTTTAAATTTTTATTGTATTATTTTTACATGTACCGTCAAATCAGATCTGACTAGTACAGGAGGAGATTGCCCCCTCCTTCTCCAGCAGAGCATCTAGTGGATTTGAACCATGTACCTCTGGGATTGCAGTGCAGTGTCTTACCACTAGGCCACCAGAGCTCTCTAGTACATGTTCTTTTATCTTTCAGACTTGACTTTAAGAAATTTCAAGACACTGAAGCATTTTTTCCTTTTGCCTGTGGTTGTGTACCTTTAGGTTGTTAGCCTTGGGAGTGTAACTGAGACTTTTGCTTTGGGCCAATTATGGCTCTTTAATTTTTTTTTGTGTGTATGTGATTTGAGTAAATATTTACAAAGCAAATTGCTTTCCCATTCAACCATTCATGCAAATTTTATTTTATGACATTAATTACAATGCTCATAATGTAACCACTCTTCTCATTTCCTTACTCTGATTCTTATTCCCTCCCCGTCCCCCACCCCATCCTGTCTGCCCCACCCCTTCCTGCCTTCTGACCTTTAGCTGGGCAAATGCTGTTCTTTTGATCTTAGGTTGTTGTGTATTCTAAGGAGTGGAAGTTTCCTGGGTATTACTTTTCCTTTTCTAGGTCTCTTTGTTGCTTGGTTAAAAGTTGAGCCACATGCACTGCCTTTGAGCCCCCAGCGTGCCTGCTCGTGGCACCAGGGGTTAAGCTGAAGCTCAAGAACATGAATTTGTGCATAACTGGGGCCCTAGCCCACAGCAGGCGGCCCTTTTAACCATGAGCAACACAGTGGCAGATCAGGCCTCTGCTGGGGTTCGCCTCTTGGGTCTCAATTCTTAGGATGGATAGTAGGCTCTTTGACTAATTGGGTATTGTGTGTGTGCTGCTGACTAGTTGGACTAGCGCTGCAACTTAACCTGTCCTTGGCTGTCATCCAATAAACTTTAGGTGTTATTGAAAAAAAAAAAAGTTGAGCCACAGGGATGAGTCTGAAAGGTGGCTGAGGTTCCATGGTCTCTGGAGTTTTTGTCAGTAAGCGTGGCTGTTTTGATGTTACTTGGTTCTGTTCTTAGTTTTTGTGCCCAATCTTTCCAGAACCTTCACCTTCAGCGTGATCAGTAGTGGTAGCCAGGCACCATGTAGGTCTTCTGGTCTCAGGGTCATGGAAGCTGAGGTTTGAATAGTCCGTTAGTCCTTTGGACAGATTTCTATATGTCTTTGCCTCTCTTCTCTGATTTTTGTTACAGACAGGGAGAGACCAATATTTGTACTTTCGGTGGCTGGTGTATCTGGTCATTAGTTGCCAAAGTGGAATGTGTAACATTATGTTTGTGGACTATGTTATGCTAGGTCCCCTTGATGTCACCATGATTGCTGTCTTAAGGTCCCCAAATCAGTGATATATCCTCCCTAAGGGTATTTGGTTCTGACTGAGGTATTTATATAGTTTTGCCGTGTTGTTCTGTTATATACATGCATATATTTACAGCATATAATGTTGTGTTGTTGTTGTGTACTATCGAGTCAGAACCAACCCATAGCTGACCCTCTGGTGGGTTTTCAGAGGTATGGGAGGAGCTTGCCCATCCTTCTGTGGAGCAACTGGTGGATTTGAACCTCATGCTTTTGGCTTCTTGCCGCTAGGCCACCAGAGTTCCCTACAGCATATAATAGGAATTAGAAATATCATCTGCCAAACCTTTGTATGGTCATAGGTGCCATTCTTGTCATCTGTCCTTGTCAGTTTATCTTGTCTATCTGTAGTCATGACTTATTTGTGGTTAATAAGTAAAAGAAAAATGTACATATAGAATTGTCACAGTGAAATGCTTATTACTAGTATAATAATAGATAATCTAGGTTAGAAAACAACTTTTGAAATTCCTTTGGATGTACTTTCAGGTGATTTTTAAAAAATAAGGTATGAAAGCATTATGATTATTATAGGAATTTAGAAAATAGAAGAAATGAATATAAAAAAATCCATTTGTAATCCTACCACTGAGAAATTTTGGTAGGTTTTCTTCAAATATTTATGTGTGTGTATCATGTACTTAAAAATTAAATCTGGCTTACATATGGTTTTAGATCTTGCTTTCTTTAATGTTTACCAGCTTACCATAAACATTATTTGATGTTATAGGACAAAACTTAAATCTTACACTTTTGCTTTGGAGGCCAGGAAGGAAATGGTAATAGTGATGCAGGTTGTAACAGAACAGTTTGTAGCTGGATTTTTGCTTTCTTTTGTGGGTATGCACATATGTGTTGGTGCTTTCTCCCTTCTTTTGGCTACTGACATGGGCTGATGGAACTAATACTTGAATGATTACTTTCCCTGCTATGAGTGTCATGCTGGCATTAATCCGTCTGAAGTACTTCCTTCCTGCTTTCCGGGAGACTCCATACTGGCATTGCCTCCTTCCTTCCTTTAAATCAGGCCCTGATAACAGCAGGAAATAAATGCAGCATAAAAGAACTAAGGAAGGGGCCATTGTCTATCTGTTATATGAAAGGGATTGTTAATGAATTCTGTTCTGATTTTAGAATGACATGCAGATGGCTACAAAAAGCCTTTGTGCCTTTTCTTTTCATATTTTGTACTGTGGTCTTAGGTGAGTTCCCTCCTGGTAATGTTGAAGCTCATACACCTGTTCACTGAGGTAACAGTTGTTTCCTAAAAGATGGTGCTATTCAGTCTTGTTTTTGTTTTCTGAAACCCATTTAACATCTGTGTGGCTCATGAATTTAAAAAAAATTTCTGTTAATTTATTATGTAGATGATCCTTGACTTTTCACAATTCTCACAATTCTGTTTTAAGTCGTTTCTAGTGTAGGTTGAATACCTAAATTTCCTCCCTCCTCCCCCAATATTCTTTATTATTGCAGAGCCTTGGTGGTAGCTCTTAACCTAAAAGTAAGCAGTTTGAACCTACCGGCTGTTCTGTGGGAAGAAGGTGTGGCAGTCTGCTCTTTTTGGATTATTGCCTTCTAACCCCCCAGGAGAGGGATATCATGCTTGGGAGGGTGGAGGGACAGCGCAGAAGAGGAAGGCCCTCTATGAGGTGGATTGATTCAGTAACTGGGATAATTGGGATGGGAGTGTCAGAGACAGTGCAATTAGCACAGGACAGAGCAGAGTTTAGGGCTGTTGTACATAGGGTCGCTATGAGTTGCAAGCGACTCGGCACATAACAACAAAACAACAACCCCCATGGGGCTGCTTAGTCCTGGGGGGTTGTTATGAGTCAGAGTCTACTTGAAAGTAATGAGTTTAAGGTACTGTTGCCTTTTATTAGAAGTGTCTCTATCCGTCCGATCTTTATTTGTCTATGGGGATTGTTAAGGGAATGGTAACATTAGCAAATTATGGACCAAAACATTATATGAAGTATGTATTACTAATTATAGGAAACCCCAAAACCCCCAAAATGGATGGTTCTAAGTGTGGTTTATAGTAACTCGAATACAGCTTAGGTCAAGGAATACCTATGTATGTTTATGAAAATAGATAATATACTCTGTTTTGCAACTACCTTTTTAACTTTACCACACGTTTTAGGTCAATACTGTCTTAGTTATCTTAGTTATCTAGTGCTGCTATAACAGTAATACCACAGCTGGATAACTTTTACATACAAAGTTATTTTCTTATAATTTAGGAGACTACATGTCTGCATTCAAGACACTGTCTCTAGGGGAAAGTCCTTTTCTCCTTTCCACATCTGTAGGCCTGGTGTTCTTTGGAGATTTCCATGTTTTTTACATCAATCTTCCCTTGGGTCTAAGAGATTCCTAGCATGTTGACCCCAGGTCCAATGGATTGCTTTGCTCCTGGCTTTTCTATCTTGATAGTAGTGAAATACCCTAGCTTTTTTCTTGCTTCTTTCTCTCTCTCCCCCTTTTTTTTTTTAAAAAAATCTTTTCTAAGATAAAAGGTATGATTTGAGCAAAGATGTTGCTTGAATAAGGGTGATGTTACTCTGATAAGGTTGTGACTCAAGATATGTGCCACCCTAATCCTGCTTCATTAGTATATAGAGACCAGAATTTACAACACATCACAAAATAGAGGATAGTTACAGCAGATCCCAAAGTGGAGAACAATTACATAATGCAGAGAAATCATGGCCAAGCCAAGCACACATGGATTTCGGGGGAACACAGTTCAGTTCATGGCAAATACATATAAACACTACTACCATTTTTAATTATTGGAAAATATTCTATGAATGTACCATGACTTTGTTAACCTTTTGATGATAGAATATTAAAAGAAATTATTTCTGTTAAGTGATGTGATAAACAGACATGTATATGCTTCCTTCTTTGAGATGAATTCCAAAAAATTAGAATATGAGTCAAAGGGATGCACATTTAAGATTATTCAAGTTCTTTTGTATTCTTTTTTTTAAAAAAATAGTGTTGGAGATTTGGTGGCCTAGTGGCAAAAAGCTGCACTGTAATTCCAGAGGTATGCGGTTCAAATCTACCAGATGCTCTGCTGGAGAAGGAGGGACAATCTCTTCCTGTACCAGTCAGATCAATTTGATGGTACACACACACAAAATAATAAAATAAAAAAAAATCAGTGTTAACTAAATTATCATTTAAATACAAGTGATGTATCCAGGGAAATTGATATACAATGTAATATACCCAAGGATTTTGAAACTGTGTCTCAGATGCTTTGGGCATGTGGCCAGGAGAGACCTGTCCTTGGATAAGGACATCTTGCTTTGAAGGGGGAGGGACAGCACAGGAGAGGAAGACCCAGATGAGATGGACTGATACAGTGATTGGAGTAATGGGGG